CAACAACATCCTATCACATGCATAATACATTACTGAGCTTACCCCAACCACCCCGGAAGACACTAAGCATCCCTAGACACCAAAACCACCCACCCCAGGACAGTGGCCACAGCCAGACAGTACTGGGTTGACTGCGAGCCAAACCATCCAAAAAGGTCCGAAAATGCACTGAGGTAGTACTTTGACAGGCTGGGTGGACCAAAGCATGGGTGGGGTGCAGGTAGATGATGCATCATGCATGGGGCATCGTTGCTAGTGTGTTTAGAAGTGTTTCCATGGCTGTAGGTGCATTGGCTGTCCCGGGGTGGTGTGATATAGGTGTTTTTGAGGATGACTGGTGCCAAGTCACCAAGGGTGGTCTGGGTGGGCCCAAAAATGATACACATGATGGTACATGCAAATATACACTAAGGGAGGTGTGTTATAACCCATAGTAACACAAGTGGTAGTCATGGGGTGTCCATAGGAGGAGTAATGCCCAAAAGCAGTAGTTAGCCACCTGTTGCTCAGAATCTCTTGGAGTCTTATGTAAACATGTAGCCTTATATGGGCTGAGTAAAACCCCCAAATGCCCACAATGTGGCATAGCAATAGTGTGGGAAAATGCGAAAAACTGTCCCAGAGCTGGCGGTGAAAATAATTTTTGTACAGCAATGCACAGCCCATGGTACCTACACATGATTAGGACAACCACTCCCTATTCCTATGCACTATTTTAACCGCTACATTAGTAACAACATCGACAGCATGGACAAATAAACCCCAGATATGGAAAGAGGCTGAAATGTAGATCCTGGAGGTATCCCATATCAATTGCTGCCATATTTGGCATGTGCTGATGTAATGTAGTGATGCCACATGTGTGCTGTCATCTACAGCAGGTTCCATGATTTTTCCGTATTTTTCCGTATTTTTCTGGGCCCTACAGGGCCAGGTATGGCCACCCACCTATTATTGGCAACAGCTCAGTATCAAATCCCGATTTGGATCTCCATGCCGGAGATGCCGGGGCTGTCATATTCAAGCCCAGCTGGGCTGCTGGGAGCTGTATAAGGTATTCAGAGAATAATGCATAAACACCGCACGTGTAGCCTGTTTAATGTAATAGGGTACACGGTAGTATTGGGTGAATAATGTAATAATACTACAGCATCGGCTGTGCTTTCTGTTTTAAACTTTTATCTGGCATCCTACGTGAGAACATCAATACGAGAAACTCTAAGTCTAAGAAGCCTGCTTCCAAAAAGGCTACAAAGACAACAAAGAAAACAACGAATAAGACAACCGTGTTCGTGGCTTCCAAGGAGTCTACCTCTACTGCTTCTGTTTCGTCTCAGGACTCCCAAGGTAGCAAATCCAAGAATAAGGCAGGTACATCTGACCATGGGGCTACTCAGCCTCAAGTTGCTTGGGGCCCTCAAGAAGAGGCTCTTCTTAAGCAACTCTTGGAGAAAAAGAACAACCTTGAGTTGGATTAGGATAAAGGTACTCCGTATTGTATGGTTGCCTAAGTTTTATGAATTCCACTAACTTGCTTAAATGTATCAGAGATACGTAAGAACGTAGAGGATATACTGGACCTTGAGGAGGAAGATCAGCCAAGACCAAGCATTGGCAAGAAGAGAACCGTAGCAGTTCTGGATGACAAGGAGGATGCCTTGGCAGATACTTTAGCATTTGGTGGTCCAGGTATGACCAGTTTATTACACCCAGTTTCCCTCATGATTTGGTTACTTCAGGTGACGGCGACCGCAACAGAATGGGTGAGAAGGAGGACAGTGATGGTGATAGCAATGATGAAGACAAGGATGAAGAGGCTGAGGAGGAGCCAACTAAGGGTCCCCATCTGGGTGCTAGCAGTGTGAGTCAATGTCTTTTCCTGTGTTCATTAACAGATCAAAAGTTCACATGGATGAAGTTTGTGATAGGGTCGTCAGCTTCAACTCATTTGGCTAAGCGTCAATGAATGGCACAAAAGGCTACAGCTCATACTGAGCATGTGGACTTTCGAGCTCCTGGCAGGGCTCCAACTCTCAGCCCCCTTGCGATGTCCTAACTAGTCGCCTTGAGATAACTGGGCCACATGCCAACAGTTATGTTGTCACTACCTCAGTAAGCATACTGAAAGGTAGGTCTGGCCGGGCCAATGCCAACGGTCAAGTCAAGAGTCCAGGTAATCGCTGTATTCAACAGGAGGTTGAACTAAGGAATACATGGGTTTTCCTACAGTATATATAGTAACTGGTATAGGGGTTAATACCCAAAGAAGAGAACAATAAAAAAGGATGCATAAGCTATCCTGTGAGAATGTAACTCAGAGAAATGAGGAATACAAGGGTGCCCATTGGTAGAAGGTGAGTCAAGAGAGATAACATGTGAAAAGAGATAGCGTCCATGGGAGGTTCTACTCAGAGAAAGGTACTGTCCAATAGCAATGCTCAGAATGGAAATAGAATGAGATAAGCATGGGAAAATTGTAACACCCATGAGTATTTGCATCTCCTGATCTGTATGGAAAAACCCTTTGCTTCACCAGCTGAGCAGAGCCCTTTGATTGAGAGAGCAATCACCCTTGCTTTGGAACAGCAAAGCAATGACTCTAAGACAGTGTGGGAGGAGAGCAGTAAGGATCTGAGATCAGGAGTACATTCTTATGCACGTATCTATCTCTGTCTACTGGTGGATCAATGAGCTTACCAAGTAACCAGGTATGAACCTCTGTCAGCTCTGCATGCAACCAAATCAAACAAAAGGAAGAAGAAGCGGTCGCAGACTACGGTATTCCTGGGAACCTGAAGCCTTCCGAAATATGATCCCATGTAGAGTGGTTGCTTCATGAGGAACATTACAGCTATGGTGGGATGGATTTTGCAGTTAGCTCAATCTTTTACAATGCCTCCATGTCTACTTGACATCTGTATAGGCACAATCTTATGATGAAGACATGCCTATCTCCCATCCTGGAATTATTGGAGTTATAAGATGCCAGTGGTTTACTGGGCCCAAATGCTTTGCTCTCAAGTATCTGGATGCCTTGAAGGAGCTATCACCGCCAATGTGGGCCTTGGCAATGACATCAGTATGTGGCAGGTCAACATTGTTCGACTGAAAAGAGACTAAGCATGGAAACTTAGGTCGTCCAAGCTCTAAATAGCTGGAAGGATGGGAAGCTCATCCCTAGCAAGTTTTCTGAAGACAACGTCAAGGAATTGTAAGTGATTCTAATCAAATAACTTGATGAAATGTACTGATGTCGTGTCTGCTTCAGGTACATTAAGGCTCTGAGCTGGGTCAAGCATTGGAAGAAGAATACACCAACATGGTACAGTGATCATGTTGAGGGAACTCTGGCAGATATTTGGTATAAGTCTGCCTGGTTTCTGTCTGACACATGCTTACCGACTATTCCCCAGTGAGAAGATGCAGATCATTATGATTCCAAGCACCAACTTTGACCACACATCCGAGGTTATTAGTAGGTTGGAGGAGAAGGCCAAGGCCAAACAGGCTGTATGTGGCGTCAAGGATGGAGCATGAGGTGGATAAGAGCATGGCTTTTCACTCTTGTTTCTCAAGTTTGGCATTATCTATCCATGTTGCTGCTTGCAGTCTGCTGTGATTTTTGCTAGCTGTTTTGTTTACCTTATGTTGGACTGTTAATATTCCATTGAATATGTATCAGTATCCAACATCAGTTTCAGTATGGAAGCCTGAAGGTGACTGAAGTAGCAGAGTGACTTAAAATGAAAACATATGCTTTTCAGCATCTGACTGTCTTGAATAGCATCCAAAGTACCTAAAGGATGAGCACCAATATATGTTGGCTGCAAAAGTGTATTTCACACTTTTCTATACTTTCCAACAACTTTATGCCCCTCTGTTGTTCTTTAAAAAAGGGGGCATTCTTTTGTTACTTTTCCTACTTGTTACAGTCATTTTGGAATAGAAAAGTAGACTTTCTTTTTCCTGATGATGGGTGTGTGTGGTGGCATCTGTGGGTTTACCTGTGCCATTCACTATGTATGCACTTGCATGCAACTCGCATTGACAGGTTGAGTACAAGTATGTGTCTACCCACAATTTTTAGTTTCAAAAGTGTGTCCACTGACACATTTTCAAAACCCACCAGGTCATGGGTACTGCCAACTGCAACTTGTACCCATACCCATGCAGGCCCCTACCCATGACCTGCATGGGTTATGTGAACCTGTGCAGATCACTATCCAGGGTGGCCAGTCATGCATCTCTATAAAAGTTTAGAAATATTGGGGCTTACAAATGCAGTTCATGCAACAAATATATCTTGCTCAACTCCAACCTGTAGGACATAATGCAGTGTATGACCATCTCCATCCTGCTTCCACCACCAGAAAGACTTGAATGGAGTGTTGTGGATACTTGAGAACTGTACCATCATCAGCCAGGTGTCAGATGTATAATCAGGAGCAGCTTCAATTCTAAACAAACCCATGCTATTTGTGATACACACTGGGACTGTGTACCTGTGCAGTTCCCCAGTCATCTGGTGATGTACCTTAGTGCCTCATGAATCTTGATCATTTCATTGACCTCTGAACCCTTGTCAATCATAAGTTGGATAGAGATATGAACTTCAATGATTCAGCCAGGAACCTGAGTTAATATAGTCTATGTGGAGAGAGAAAATGAATACATACCTCCTCGAGACTCAATAAGGTTCAGATAATAATGAGCGATAATATGTCCTTCATGCCTGTTTGGCATTATGACACAAGCATGTAGAAAACTCAAGTATTGGTCCTTCAAGGCATAAATAGGCAAATGAACACCTTTGCCCATTTGCAGACCCTGTTCTGCGAGCTTCTCATGACCATCACAATTTTCAATTTGTCATGAGCCAAGGCAGTCCAGTGGTCGACGGTGAACGGTATGCCCCTTCTGTCTTACAAACCTGTATTCAAACTCTTCATCATAATAATCATGCAGAATTGTACACAGTTGATCACTATGGACATTATAAGTATGTTCCAATTCTTTGTGCACTGCCCATAGTTCATGCATCATGGTATGCACATGTTTTCATTTGCCAGACATTGCTTCACTAATGTAACTCCCCACTTTCCTAAAACATCACTCTCCTTGAGATCAAGGACTGCCTGTGTTTCTTCAATGGATGTCTTCCCATTTTTCTGCACACTTTTGATACTGAGGTGCTTGTGTAGAGCATATAGAGTTGTACGGCTAGACCCAGGACCAGGATCAGATGAACATCTAGTGCTTCTGGCCTAATGACACAAACACACCTGATTTTCAGATTGAAGTCAGCTTTCAACTGTGCCATACTGCACTGTTATTTTCTCATTCTTGGAGCTGTGCATCTGGCGTATCTAAGAAGCAGTCAGAGGAGATGGCAATAGTTCTACAACTGGGCTTCTTATGAGTCTATTCTTGATACTGGTTCTTCCCAGAGTGATTGACCATGAGCACAAGATACAGTCGGTATATGGGGCAGGTTTATATTATGCAGCATTGACAGATGCATATATGACACTGCTCCATGATAAAAAGAGATTTTTTTATTTTGAAACTATCTTGAAAGCTCAAGCATGGCTGTAGAACTAAGGAAGGGAGCAAGTGTGATGACCAATGAGAAAATCTAAAGGTAACAGGTAAGGTGTTTGAAGCAGAGGTGGTGGAGGAGATAAAGATGAAGGACACAGACAGAACAGGTATACAGCTGGCAAACTGAAACTGGAACTAAACACACAATGCGCAACAAATGACCGACAAGGAAGAAGAACATTGTTCACTTGGATTGCAAGCACTCTCTGTAGCACCTTCCTCAAGAGCAGACTCAGCAGGATGAGAGGCACCTTGCACCCTCAATCTTCCCCAAAGTACCATCACCTCCAGTAGTACCAGCCTGAGTGCCATCTGTGTCTGCCTGCTGCAACACAACGTCCTTGGTGATCATTGCATGGGATTGGGTGCTGGGTCCCCAAGCTCATCCTCTTCATGCCATTCAAAACACCGCTTGGCCTCCAACTGTGCAGCCAAAGTGTAGGCCAGTTGGCAAGTGGAGACAAGCCCCATGGTTTTGCAGATAGTTGTACGCATGTGCTGGTCAATGAAGTCCTTGATGCCACCCTGACCATGGTCACCCAGACCACTTGTACTATGGTAGTAATTAGCATTGATGACAGAGAAGAGTCACCAGTGGTTATAGCAAGGGGTAGGTCCATAATATACCAACCCCCTCCTGACAATATTGCACCAGTTCATGACAAGCTGACACAGTACCTGGATAGTACTTGTCATGATTGGGGGAGCTTGCTCCCCATTTGTCAGTATAGCAGTCTCAAAATGTGTAAGGGATCTCCCACGCCACTCAATGGCTTTTCAACCCTAGCATAGGGTTACATGCTCAGTGGTGCTGGTGCCGCCACATGCATTGCTTGGGTGATCCCAGTGGCATTGCCTCCCGCCTCAACCCACTCACTGGGGCTTTCCTTATGTCTTAGGAATCACACCTTCGCGATGGTCAGCTCCTCACATTGAATAATAGGATTCAACTACTGTATGTGGGTGAGTCAGGATATGTATAGCTGAATAGACTATAATGAGAATCAAATATGCAATATTGGAAAAACATGTAGTGTGAGATATGATTACAAAAAAGGGGAAATACCAGACTCTCCCTGATGTGCCACCTCATAGGCTCTCATACAGCTCTTCTGTCTACAGTTGATGGGAAATTTAAAGAGCTCAAATAGAGATAAGCAATATGAAGCAAGTGGAATATCCTGAGACTCAGATAACTATAAATTACCATAGTGGATAATTCCAGGGCACACCCAAGGATGGGCATACAAATCTGAACAGTTCCCCTGCATGGCCTAACACCCTAAAACCCTTCTCCCCTGTGTGGGCTAAAACTCTTCTCCCCTGCATGGGCTGATTCTCCCCTGCGTAGCCTAACTTTCTCCCCCAATTTCATGGCTTGTGACACATGAGTCTATCATAGCACAATGTATATATTAGGAATAACACCACTGTGACATAAATATCTGGACAGACTGCTCAATCCCTTTGGAAAAAATTTTCAACTTGACCTCAGATAAATAAGCTCCCCCTGAAGTATGCGGGGAACCTGCCTACATGCCATATTATTGTTAACAAAGTTGGTGACTCTCCACTGTTGGTGGACTTCCACTGGAGAGAACAAAATCCCCTGTCAGTCAAATCATCAATGCCCAATGAGGACTAGCTCATGTCGTTTCTTCAGGATGCTACCAGGTGCTGGGCCTCACAAGAGTGCCCATTAACTGGGCCTAGAAAATGGATGTATGACAGTTAACACTGATGGTTCCTGTGAGGACAATGGCAAACTAACTGCACATGCAGGAGCAGGATCTACATCAAACTAGGTCACCCCAACAATTGGGCTATCCAAGTCCCAGGTCCTCTGCAATTAAACCAAGTGGCAGAAGCTGTGGCAGCCATCACCACACTGCATGGTATTCCTCCATTCATCCCAATCCAAACACCTAGGGCACTGGGAAGATATTAGTTGGCTTAGGGTGGCAAGCAGCCAATTCTTCGAGGCTGCAGCATACCAACTCCACCACCACTCTACCAGAGCATCCTTCCAATGGGTGAAACTGCAGACCCTTAGCACAAGGGCCAGGAAAGACTACCATAGACCAAATTGACCTGAAAGTCCCCCTAAACTTCATAATACAGGGAGGCAAAACTATCATGCCTCACCTAAGCAGTAGCCTACAGGAGAATACATGCAAGGCATACACTGGCAGTGACCTCACACCAGGGAGCCATGATCAATCTGGACAGAACATGTTATGGACCAGAGAAATTACACACAGCCTGGAAACAGACCAACAAATCCAGCTCTTGTGCCATAACAAAAACCTGCTTGCAGGAGTCTGATAATTCACTCACAAAGCCCTACATTGCACACAGAAGATAGGTGAATACTGAACCCCCATAGATGGGTACCAATATTGTGCAATGTGCCACTTCTGCAAAGACACTGAGGAAACCATGGAACACATCTGGTTAGTGTGATGCACTGGAAAGAACACTAGTTTGGAAGCTTGCAAAGCAACTATGGCCCAGTGGCTATGGGGAATGGCCAAACCTTCCCTTCAGAGCAATCCTTGGCAACAGGAAAGTGACCCTCCCCCAGCTCACCCAGACAAGCTGGAAAGCGGGTCAGACGGCAGCAATAGTCAGTTGCTGGGTGGTAGTATTGCTTGTCCAAGGAAAAAAAAGTATATACATATACATATAGTACTCCCACCTGAATGACATGAATATTAGAGCACCAATGCCCAGGCAAGGAAAGGTATACTAAAGCCGGAACCTCAGGTATGCCATCAGGAGAGCAGAGCAGCCAGTGACTACCAGCAGCATTCAGCTAACACACATGGTACATCTGAATGGGGAACGCACCAAATCCAACAAGATACTGAAGTGTTGTGGCCTGGGTAGGAAGTCAATAACTGCGCAATGCGCAGGGTTAGCATGAGCTTGCCTTGGAAGCCTGAATTGCAGTCCTGAGGCCAGCTATCTCTTGTTCAATCCGGGTATCGACCTCCTTGATCTTCAGTTCTTGCCCGCTGCTCTCTTCTCTCATTCGACCTTTCTCAAGATTGAGGTCCAATCGCACGCCAGACTGAGTCCGAGTGATCTCTTCCCGAAGACGCTGTTTAAGTTTCTCGATATCGTTGACGAGCCGGTCATTCTCGGCTTTCAGCATGGCGAGGTCGTTCTTCTCCATGAGCTGTAGCTCCGACTTGAGCTGGGCGAAGTCTACTTGCTGCGTGTACTGGTGCTGTGGGCGGAAACGCGCAGCACGAGACTCTCGGTACCTGACAGAGGGAAGTATAATAGAAAGACAACAGGACGGACCTTCTCCTGATCCGCCTTCGTCACCATGTTGCTCGTCATATTCCTGATACTCTCGTCGATTACCTCCGCCATCGCCGACATGATTCCTTCCGCCTGCGCTCTGTTCAGACCCTCGCGCTCCAGGCGCTGGACGAAGTGATGGGTGTCGAAGTGGAAGTCAGAGCGGACAGGGGAAGAGTGGAATCCGCGTAACCTGCGCCATGCTGGGAAAAGCGGCGAGCGGCGTAAAGAAGCGAGTGTCCTGGTATTCATGCAAGTCAAGTGTGTGGCAAGCAATGAGGGGCACCAGAGCAGTGTGGCCGGATATGGCGCACGTGGCTAAGGCCGTTTCGGGCGTCAATGATCGCTTTCTAGTTTTCTGGCCCGCCTCAAGCTTCAAGTCTGCTCTGTTATTAGCCTTTTCACTCGCCCTCTGGTCTTGAAGCCCAGCCATGCAAAGCGACGACGTTATATGGTCCGTCATCAACCAGCAGTTTTGCTCGTATAAAGTCAAGTACGTCGGACGCTGATCGAGCTGCCGTTCATGCATCTAACCTATGTTATCCCTAGAACCCAGACGCAGAACTTTTGCCGAAACGAATATAATGTTACCGGTCTATGTAATCGTCAATCATGTCCACTTGCCAACTCCCGCTACGCGACTGTACGGGAAAAGGAAGGTATGCCTGCTTTTCGCCTAGGGTATCGCAACCCTTCTCACCTCGCACCCCCGCTTAGGTGTTCTATATCTCTACGTGAAGACTATAGAGCGTGCGCACAGTCCAGCGCATATGTGGGAACGCATCAAGCTCTCGAATAACTACATGAAAGCTCTGGCTCAGGTACATGCCTCGTATCCTGACACGCCCGCTGGTCAGACTCAAAGGCATTGACTTAGATTGACCAAGAGCTGCTCTACTGGCCTAACTTCACCATCCACAAGTGCAAGCAGAGGGTTACGAAGATCACGCAGTATTTGCTCAAGATGAGACGATTACGACTACGACAACAGTAAGTCCTTGGGCGACGCGTTAAAGAATTCTCGACTAATGTATTCACCAGGCCGAAGCTGATTGGCGTGAAGAAGAAGCTGGACAGACGCGAGGCAGTACGGGAACGTAAAGCGCTTTCTGCCGCGCACCTTGAAGCGTCGATTGAGAAGGAGCTACTTGAGCGGTTGAAGTCAAAGGCATACGGTGACGCACCACTCAACGTGAACGAGAGCGTGTGGCAGGCGGTTTTGGATCGTGAACGGAGAGCAGAAAAGTCGGCTGCGGGCCTGGCAGAAGAAGACCTCGAGATGGAAGACGACGAGACGGATGAGGAGGACGAGGAGGAACTCCAGGAAGAAGACGGGTGGGGTGAGCGGGAGTACGTGAGCGATCTCAGCGGGGACGAGGAAGATGATCTCAGCGATATGGAGAACCTGGTGAGTTTCAGTTATGGGTGAACATATGCATTGAGGCGGACTAACCAAATTTTTAGGGAGACGAGTCGGATGAGCAAAGTGGTGAGGACGAGGAGGGCAGTGAGGAGGACGACGAGCCAACGCTTTCTCTCGGGAAACGCAAAGCAAAGTCCGCGCCGTCGAAAAAACAATCGGGAAAGAAACCGAAACGTAAGTCTATGTTCTTCAATGACGTCTCTCACCCTCTCATGGTGATATCAGGCGGACCCAGAGTGGAGGTGGAATACGAACAAGATACCGGTACAGTACCACTCACCAAACAGCTATTGGACAACTGGTAGTAGACGTCGTGCGCATCCATATCCCCTATCATTCCATTATTCCATTACTCGGACGTTCGTATATGGCAACCTCCAAGAGCAGACCCATCCAAGCTACAGTATGTATGTGCAAGACTAAAATGACCATAAGGTATACATATATATCCAGGGACCGTACAAGAGAGAGAAGGCTGCATGGAATACAGACAGGTAGTCTAGTCAGTCATGCCGCGGGCTTTCTGTCGACGTAGTTCGATGTCTTTGCGAGTCATCCGAGTACCGAGGATGACGTCCCAGTGTGTAAAGAACGGCTGTGCAAAGTTGGACTTGATTCCGACCACCTACGCGCATCGTCAGTCCTGAAAGTACACGCAGGAAACAGGGCAAATACCTGGTGGTGGATATCGTGATAGTCGGCATTATTGGAAGTCATCCACTGCAATGGATCAAAGGGCAGCTTATACCCGCAATGATCATCGACGGTCTTGAATGTCGAAATGACGAAAAGCAGCGCTGCTTCTCGTAAAGTCAGGCCTGCTAATGCCTCTGCCACACCAGCGCCCATCGAATCTAGCACAAATCCCTCAACGGGGTGGTTATATAGTGCACCAAACGCGTAGGGAACGTATAGCCGATGGTGAACGGAATGGAAGTGCTTGTACATCCACTTGTTGACGTGCATAGCCCGGTGCCAGAAGTACTGCCAGGTATCAATCATGAACCTGGTCGCCTGGTAAGCAAACGAGGACTGGCCGGCGTGGAGGAAAACGCACATGGCAAATAGGAACTTGGCGATTGGGATACCCCACCAATACATAAAGTAAGTGAGTTCACCACCGTTCGCTATCAAGAAGCGGCCGCCCGCTGTCTGCCCCATGAATGCCTTCACCCAGAAGGCAACCTTGACCGACAGTGCTCTCATGTTCCCGAGATGATCGACACCCGCGCCCGACACAGAGGGCTCCATCCAGAAATACCCGAGGAGAGTCTGGATGATATGCTGGAAGACAACTGCCTTTACGACCTCCCAGCGGGTCACAAGATTGCGAGACTTGACCTCGGAGGACTCGTGGATGCGATACTTGTCCAGCCACTTCCATTCGGACATATCTAGGACGTGGAAGACAAGAGAGACCACCCAGTACGCAATAATGGGTGCCGCGAGAGAAGTGGCATGATCAGGAATGCCCGGAATGAGCTCGCTGCTGGGTGAATAGTAGAACGGAGTCTTGTCGGGCAGTGAGAAGTCCGGATATGCTGTCGTCAAGACCGTATGGTTCATGATGGCAGTCCTCAACCTGACGGCGCGACAAGGGTGCTGGCCGCGATGGACGACGACGAGAGACAAGTCGCTGGGAGTGAAGGGACAAGAATGTAGCAGACATTTCGGCGCCACCGAGCTCTTTACTCGGGACTAGAGATGCTCTCGGCACCGGCTCTGGATGTGTTCTTCATACCCGTCGATCTCCTTACACATTCTGGCTTACAAGGCCTCGCTGAACGTTGGATCTCGGAGGGCGCAAACTCCAGTGCGGGCCACAGTATCAATTTACTGCTGCGCAAGCAATTACAATATAGCACAATCGCAACGTGTGATGGAGAGATCGTGATGAACCAGCGAACGTTTGGAATGAAGGTATTACTGACGCTCAGTCCACAGCAGCCGAGCAGTCCGCTAGAAATAGTGTAACTCGGATCCCACAAACGACATATCCTCTGTGATCCGGATATGAAATAATCCCTGTTGCTCCCCATGAGCATGATAACGAAAATAAGACGCAGAAATAACTGACCAAAACCCCTCAAGATGAGCTCCGGCGAGAGTATTATAAAAATGACACAGAAGTAGGAAAAGACACGATATGCAAAGCATGCCAAAGGGAATAAGAAAAGCATTGTGACGAAACCAGATCGTAACAGTGAAGGGGTATGTGGCGTGTGCTGAGAGAATGACCAGTAAGTCCCGCGCGTGTGTACATGAAGTTGGCAGAGATAAGGTAGACCGCGCTATCAATGGATCCAACAGTTTAGCTTTGATGATCAGTGCTCGAAGGTGATGCACGTACAAGGCTATGAGTACTCCTTCTCAGATATCGGCAGTCTATTCATGCTTATCCCGTGGCCATCTGACTCGTTGAATTCATCTGTCGTCCTTGCCACACCGATGGCGGCACCATTCGCCGTCAGCCCTTGTTCGCTCTGGAAGTCTCCGGGAGTTACGGGACGCGAGGGTACGCCGGTCATGCCCGTAGATGACGTCGCCGTCACGGTCGAGACAATCTGCTGATTATGAGGGTAGTAGGAGCGTCGCTGCATCTTCTTGAAGTCATAAGTGGTGAACCTGTCGGGTCAACATATTGAGCGAAAGAACGGCCGCTAGAATAAGGTGCAACGTACTGTTCCTCCATCTGTCTCATTTCAGGAGTCAGGTTATCCTGGTTTGCTTTCCGTTGCTTCGCCTTCAGAGGATTGTCCTCGAGTAGAAGTTCCTCCAATTCATGCGATGCATCGAAATTCGCCTTCTTCGACTATACACTGGGTCAGCTTGCATGCCAGGAAGCAAACGGAAGCCTCACATCAGGAACAAAGGGTGGCGTTGCCTGTTTGCTTTCCAACGTCTCCCAGTCGATGTTCCGGAACCATGGATGCCGCCGCAACTCCTCAAAGCCTTCCCCATGAGGTTTGCATCCTAACCGTTGTGCAGGATCTCGAGTCAAAAGCTGAAAGCTGACATCAGCAACATATAAAGAGGCCTTGATAGAGACGTCAAGAAACTCACGCCTTTGAGAGCTTGTAGACCTGCTCTACTACACCGCGACTCTGCATCCTCGGGGAAGCGTAGTGGATCCTTAGAGATACTGTGCGTGAGGTCGCTGTTTGTCTTTCCTCGGAAAGGCCGACGACCGAATATGAGCTCGTATGCGCAGACACCGAGGGACCACCAGTCAATGGTGTAAGTGTATCCACGCTTAGCCAGAATCTCCGGTGCCATGTACGCCATAGAGCCGGCCACGCCAGTGAGCATTCGACGCTCGGAGTAATGCACGGCGATATTGAAGTCAGTGATATGCGCATGGCCCCGCTCGTCTAGTAGGATATTATCGGGCTTGAGGTCACTGCAGGACAATTTGAGGTGAAATCAGAGAGATGGGCTACGATAGGATGACGAGACGCACCGATGAATTATACGATTTTCATGAAGGAAAGATAAGGCGGACGATATCTCGGCGACGTAGAACCTGACTGTCTCCTCTCCCAGAGAGCCTAGTCTTTCCAGGTGGACTGATAATCGGCTCTGCATTAGGGGCGGCGAACTTCATCACCAAGAACAACTCACAACGCAGGTCCCCGCCGAGCATAAGATCCAACACGAAGAAGCAATTCTCGTCATCTTGGAAGGCGTATCGCAAGTTTACGACGAATGGGTGGTCGATCTATTTGTCGTAACGGAGGAATATTCGACGTCAGGACGCCGATGGGGACTCTGCACGGATCAGCGAACAGACCTCTTCCAGCAATCGCCGCTCTTGGATGATATTCGCTACAGCCTTCATCTTCACACATTTTGCCTTGTTAATGTACTTGAGGGCGTAAAGGTCCCGCGTCTGCTTGTGCTGCACCACCCGCACCTGTGCAAAGGATGAGAAGCAGCCGAGGGTACAAGATGTGGGACCCACCTTCCCAAACGCACCCTTGCCTACACACCGGAGAAGGACAAAGTGGAAGAGGTTGACATCTGCGTCAAAGTCTATCGGCTAGACTCGAAGAGCCACTGCGTAAGTTACAGGGCTAGCGGGAGAGAGCACGAGTGCAAACCTGAGGACGACAGCATAAAGCACCCATGACAGTTCGTTAGATTCGTAGGGATAGTGTAGGCCGTTCGTGAAGGCAGCGCAGAATAAAGATTAAATAGAAAGCAAAGCAGAGCGGACAGCAGCGACCGAAGACGAAAGCGCAGGCGTCGCACCGGCGGGAATACTGGGCAGGACGGGAGGAAGGAGGAGGGGACTGGCAGCAAATGCAGCGAAGGTCGTCAAGCCCGGTAAAGCGCCCGCCGTGACATCGTCACACGCCGTATTTGTTCTGTGACCGCGACCTTGTGCTGCATGCAGCCTTGACTTTGTCTCTCGCCAATGTCGGACGACGCGATGTCCCCTCTTTCTGACTTTCTGCGGCCTCTGGTTTTGTCTGGCCCGTCTGGCGTTGGCAAGAGCACTCTTCTCGCCCGTCTTTTTGCAGACTTTCCCGACAAGTTCGGCTTTAGCGTATCCCGTACATCACGACGCTGTCTCCCTGTGCCTGCAAACTGATCTGTTCCTGATGCAGACACCACTCGGTCGCCCCGCCCTGGAGAAGTCGACGGCGTCCACTACTACTTTATCAACGCCGACAAATTCAAGCAGCTGATCGCGGAGGGCGCATTTATAGAGCATGCTCAGTTCTCTGGCAACTTCTACGGGACGAGCTTCATGACTGTACGCGAGGTCGGCAGGTCGGGCAGGCGCTGTATTCTAGACATAGAGGCCCAAGTGTGTTCCTCAAACTCCCCAGTGAATGATAAGCGTGACTCTCGCGTACAGGGTGTGCGCCAAATAAAAAACACGGACCTGAATCCTGTCTACGCGTTCATCAGTCCACCCTCGATCACCGCACTGCGTCAACGACTGCAGGGACGTGGTACAGAAAGCGAGGCGTCGGTGCAAAAGAGGCTTGCCACGGCACTCAAGGAGATAGAGTATGCAAAACAACCTGGGGCGCATGACGTCGTGATAGTAAACGACGACCTCGACAGGGCGTACGGTCTGTTCAAACGGCTTGCGCTGGGAGAGAGGATACAGGGAGACACGTTACCTCCCTTGGATGACTTCCCTTCGGACGAGTGAATATGACGGACTAGCACTTAGACAGCAGAGACGTTAAATAATGCCAGAAAGAAGTAACAGACCGTTGGGTGATTCGGCAAGTCGGACGACCACGCGTGCTGCTCTTCCTACCTTTTCGCATCCTGCCAGCATATCCCGCGCCACTCACGTTCATGCACCTCAGATACAGCGATTAATCCAATGTCCTATACGTGAAATGACATGAGAGTACACGAAACTCCAGGTGTCATCGCATTTTTCGATCTTCAAAAAACCGCTGAAGAGAGGGTCAGAAGTCCAGTCAGCCGAGAAGAGACAACGCGACGCACCCGTAAATGCCGCAACTGCCAGGCACACGTTCCAATCAATACCGCAATCTGAAGCAGACTGTACCACACTGCTTTCGAATTCGTCTCCTCGCTAAGGTCCCGAAAGTCCGCCTCTCGCTCCCTCTGGTACTGCTGCTCTCTCCGAATGTCCTCCAGTTTGTTGTTTAAGTCACGGACTTTCGCCGCCAGTTCTGAGATATGAGAGCGGTCGCGGTCCAAGTCTGGTTTTACCGCCCCCACGACAACGTCGAGGTATAGTCGTATGTGCGTGTTAGAGCCGAACCATGAAGACGAATAGTTCGTGGAGAGGCAGATGGAATGGTCTCCTGAGTCGTGGGACGTGAAGGTGAATCGACCGTCGGGTGGTCCTCTTGTCCGGACAACGGGGTGGGACGTCTCCATTTCCTATGACCATGAGCCGTGCATCAGTTGGGATACCCAGCATGAGTGTTCCTTCTACTCACGTCGACTTCTACCAGTATGCCCAGCTCTGGGTTATTGACATACGCCTGCTGCTCATCAGACCATTCGAGCGCTCGATAGTGGCCTTATATCACGACTTAGTATTGGGGTTCAGCCCAGCGCGTCGGGAATCATACCTTCGACTACCGTCTCAGACGGCACCTCCTCTACAAAGCATCTCTTTTCATTAGCGTCCAGATAAAAGTGGAGGGCGTTTACAGTCGCCGAGAAGACAAGGAATAACAGAAGCAGCTGCTGCTGCCGCCGTGGCGAAGGAGAAACCATTGTACGGGACACTGGACAGACGTGTCGGAAGCAAGGCGTCGGATAGATGTTGTATACATGTAACATGGTAGCCACGCGACACTACAACGCTACTGACCGTGAAAACTCAGCCAATAGCAAAGAATTTCGATCAAGCTTCAACGCCACTCATCTGCGCTATGGTCTCCGGTCCCCGCTTCGAACCGTCTCTCATCAAGAACAAGGTCAAGAGGGAGGATGTATACCGGAAGAAGAAGAAGGCCAAGTCTCAGGACAAACTACAGAGACGCTTGGCTCAGGCCAAACTAGAGGCGAGTGACCCAGCAGCGAAACAGGTGCGTAATACTCTTCGAGCGACAGGCACTCGGTTCAAAGTCCAGATTACTGAAGAAACGCAAATCTGAAAATGTCCCGCATACACTGGACAACCAACGAGAGTTCGACCCTTCCATCTTGACCGCGCAGCCGCAAGCTTCCTCTTCCGCCGTTCAGCTTGTTGATGCGCCAGAGAATACAAGCCCAGACGCTAATGCCCAGCCAGCAAACGAGGCTGCCGCAGATATTGCCTCGGATGAGTTTGCAGCGTACTTTGAATCCGTCCTGGATCCCACTATCCCGCCGAAGGTCCTGGTCACTACCGGATTCAAAGCTACCAAGGCCACTTACGACTTCTGTGATGAAATCTCTACCATCTTCCCGGGTGCTGAATTCATCAGGAGGAAGAAGGGGAAAGGATTCGAGATGGGAAAGATTGCAATGTGGGCGGGCGCGAGAGGGTACACGAATTTGTGTGTTGTGAACGAAGACCAAAAGAAGCCAAGTAAGCGAGATAATTTAGATTGGGGCAGCATTTGCTCAATAACCCTATAGATGCCATCACGTTGGTTCACCTCCCTAACGGACCCACTGCATACTTCAAACTGACGTCGATCGAGAATTCGAAACGTATACGAGTAAGTGATGCCTCTATTCCGTTCCTGCCATGCTTATGCGCCATTAGGGCCATGCGAAACCAACTACGCATTATCCTGAGCTTGTCCTCAACGGCTTCGTCACCCGTCTCGGGCACGCCGTCGGGCGTATGTTCCAGACGCTCTTCCCTCCCATGCCCGAATTCCAGGGTCGCCAAGTCGTGACTCTACATAATCAGAGAGACTTCCTCTTCTTCCGCCGGCACAGGTACGTTAAATCTACGAAGGGTCTTTATCTATACTGAGAAGCGATGTAGGTATGCTTTCCGGTCCACGGAAAAGGTCGCGTTGCAGGAGATTGGGCCTCGGTTCACGCTTAAGTTACGGTGGCTGACAAAAGGCATACCGGCCGTGCAGCATATGGGTGAGCCGTCGAAGGAGCTGCAATTCGACAAGGGAGAGCAAGAGACAACCCAACCCGCCGAAGTGGAAAGGCAGGAAGATTCGACTGAGGCGGGCGGCGAAAAATCTATTGTACAACCTCCTCGACAGGATGAGTATCTCTGGATCTGGAAGGCAAGTTCATTTGCTCAAATGGTGGGATGTGCTCTAATCTCCTATGTTCCGTTCGTCCTGCAGCCGGAGTTAGAGACGACTAGACGAACGTTCTTCCTCTAGTCCTTCTCCACGTTTGAGATGGAGCCAGAGATTGGCTTCTGTCTGTAGGCGACCGGGTACCATGTAGTATCTGGACAATTGATTTGTTGCTGTTACACCGACCCACGAGTACGGCTCCCATGAGAGATTCAAGCTGTTGTGGTCGATTCTCGTATAGTATACAATGCACAGTTCGAGATGATATGCCGTTGTAAATGGGCTTATGTACTATAGGTGTGGACTTTTAGATCAATTAAAGAAATTAAAGAAATTAAATCGAAGGAGAGAGAGAAAGAGAAGGGAAAGACACTCTGTGCGGGCCCCGTGAGCTTCAGAAGGGGTATATTATTGAAAGGGTATACTAGTGCTATATTCAGGGATCTCCCTCGCTTGAAATATCCCTCGAGGCTAGTTTCTTCGGTTTCCACAGCACATGAATTTTGCTTCACGGCGCTGCGCGCCGTATTAACTCTCTGGATAGCTTGAGTCAAAACCTGGTGGTATTTTAAGTTTGAATGGACACCTCTATGTGTATCCCACTGCTCATGTGAATCGCAAGACATTAAGCAACCTGGAAGTCAAAAGCATTTTTCTTTCGGCGGCGCTGTCGCGCCGCTCACTTTATGCATCCCAAACTTAATGAATCACTTGTCACTTACCCACCTATAGTACTTCTACCTAGCTATGTGTCCCGGATCTCACAGTACAGATATAACTCTTCAGGCAGGGTTGT